TAGGTAATATTTTGTGCATTCTATAAATATGTAATAGGGCTACGTAATATTTGTTTTGTTCTATAAATGTGTAGTAGGCCTATGTAATACAGATGTGTAGTAGCATTTTGTAAGTTATGTAGTATGTTGATTATGTATATTTCATAGCCTATTAGTTGTGAAAAATGTCGTTATAAACAAGCAATGACACATCACTCCTTTTTTTATTTTACAAAATCTGGCAACCCTACATACAATAGATCAACAAATGGTTGCAGTGCATGGGGAAACCCACCCCCTCCAAATAATAATAATAATAATGGAGTGCTGGATATAAAGCATGCAGTGCACTGTGAAATTTTTTACACCAACAGCATTTGCTCTAGTAGTGACAAAAACCATGGAAACCCTTGATCGAGTTGGCCGGTTGCAGAATCTTCCGAATGCAAACTCACTTCTAACTAGCAGTCCAGCATTAATCACGCGACCCATTACGTTATACCATATATGGATGTTTCTTTATTTTTTAAGTTTACATATATGCTTTACACAGATATTGGTTCAGTGCTATGAGCGGGATCAGCAACTGTCCCGGGTTCATCCTTCCTTCTCCCTTCCCCCCCCCCCCCCCNTCCCCCCCCCCCAGATATTAGTGTCAGAATTAACACTTCCCTGTTACATTCTGTTTGGTGTTTAAACACGGATACCTGTAGGATGAAGTCCTGGACAATGTGCAAAAAGTCAATTCATACACCATCGTCACAAAATTCTACATTTTACTTTTTACCGTTTGAAAGATCTTTTATTACAAATTTGCAATTTATTATACTTTTTCTTTTTATCCAGACAGGACCTGAAATTAGAAACACGGACTCAAACAGCAAAACATCTCGCCATCACAAACCCTGCAACCGCTATGGTGATGTACACATGTACCGTCGGGTACATTTACCACAGGACTGTGGTACTGACTTCTGGCAGCCAGGAGGTGTACTCAAACATTGGAACCGGCAATGCACGTTATGGGATCAACACTACAAGAAGTTTCCACAGAAAAAAAAACCGGACGTACGTCTTATTGCATTAAAAAATAACACCTTGAAGCGTATTCTGCCCGAGAAGTCCTATGACTACAAGAAAAAACATGAAGAACCAGAGCCTACCACTTGGGCCACAGGTGGAGCAAATGATCTCTGTTCGCTCATTGAGTATAAGAGAGCCTACCGTTACTCCATGACTCATGCTGCTCTAAGTGGGAAACAGTTTAACAATAATTATGATGGCTGCAATAAAGAGAACAGAATTGTATATGGCAATAAGGTCACATTGATGCTTAACAGAAAAGTCGATTCTAAAAACAATGACGCTTTAAGAGGACCCGTTCGAGCTGAACATATGAAAATTAAAAGTGCTGAAACCCAGGCGGAAGATAATTCTCCAGTCAAAAAAACTTCCATCTATCACTTCCTGAAGATGAAACTGAGAGTGTCTGACTCTTTGTCCCAGAATCTCGCCTGTAAAAATACAGAAGATAAAGATAATTTTCGGCGTGCAAGCGATGACAACAAGTTCCTGATGCCTGCATCAAATCCAGACGAAAAAGATCGTTTGCAGAAAACCGAAGAAATGATGCGTGAGCGTAAATTTGCTCCAAGAGAATATCTGTTGAGGAAGAGCACAGATCCAGCAGGTCGCCTTACTCCTGAGAGACGCACGATAGAATTTACATTCAACTCTTTAGAAGATTCTCTTTAGAAGATGTTCTTCTCCTGGGAACTGAGGACAGATCTGCTCCAAGAAAACGGCAATTAAAGAGGAAGACCACAGATCCACCAGGTGGTCCTGCTCCCAAAATACGCAGAACAATGGAATTAACATTCAACTCAGTAGAAGATTCTGAAGTAATCGTGCCTGAAAGTTAAACGAACAATAATAATAATGAGGATAATGATGTTCTTCTGGGAACTGAGGACAAATTTGCTCCAAGAAAATGTCTGTTAAGGAGGAAGACCACAGATCCACAAAGTGGTCTGGATCCCAAGAGACGCAGATCGATGGAATTTACATTCAACTCTTTAGAAGATTCTGAAGTTATCGTGCCTGAAAGTAACACGAATAATGATAATAATAAAGAGGATAATGATGTTCTTGTGAGAACTGAGGACAGACTTGCTCCAAGAAAACATCTGTTAAGGAGGAAGAGCACAGATCCAGCAGGTGGCCCTGCTCCCGAGAGACGCAGAGGGATGGAATTTACATTCAACTCTTTAGAAGATTCTGAAGTTATTGTTCCTGAATGTTACACGAATAATGATAATAATAATAATGAGGATAATGATGTTTTTCTCATGGGAACTGAGGACAAATTTTCTCCAAGAAAACGGCAATTAAAGAGGAGGAGCACAGATCCACCAGGTGGTCCTGCTCCCAAGAGACACAGATCGATGGAATTAACATTTAACTCAGTAGGAGATTCTGAAGTAGTTGTGCCCAAAAATTACACGAATAATAATAATAATAATGAGAATGATGTTCTCATGGGTACTGTGGACGATATTCTGCAGGAGATAGACGATGAACTGATGGACTTAATTGTTACGGCTTCGTAATTGTTTTGTAAACAAAAGTCGGAAAGTGTGTTACAAGTTTAGGAACAGCCAGATCTGTCAGAGACATTTGAAATTTGTATATTCATGATGTATAAGAGAGTGTGAGTTGCTTTGAAAAAGCGCTGCTTATCAAAATATGAATTGTTGCATATTGTTAATTGGAATTATTAAAACAACTATTCATTTTTCTACTTTATTTTTCAAAAATACTTGAAATGTTTTCCCATGAAGGCATAAGAGTCACATTAATCTATTCTGCATAGCCTAGTGGCTAGTATCCGGGAGACCTGGGTTCATTTCTGACACAAAACAACTATTTTATTTTCATTAAAACTAGGTAAGAAAGAAAGGTGTGTTCATTACTTTGATTTGGTTTCTCTGTTTAGGTAAAAATTAATTAAGCAGCATACCACACAGACGTATGAGGGATTGAAGCCATAGCTCCACAGTTTTTGACCTCTGCACTACACACAGGTGAGCGGTCAACTTCACGCCTCTGGCGCTTTATCGTCTGGAGTAAGCTCCAATACCCATTCGATAAGGAGGGTAGACAGGCTCCAGGGCCAATCTGGATGCTGTGGAGCAGAGAAAAAATCTCTTGTCGTTGTCAGGAATTGAACCGTCCTGCCAGTAGCCTGTCGCTATACCGACTGAGGTATTTGGGCTCCTTTGGTTACTTTGTTGTAGTTTTAAAATGACCTCCAGCACAACCTTCATCACAACTATATTTTATAGTTGTGGCAACACAAAATGGTTTTCTGAAAAACTGAAGAACCTAAAATATCCAAAATAGAATTTACATAGAAAATTGTGACATCTTCTTAACATTTATCACTTCATATGTAAAAATGTGTAATTCAGTTAAAATCGTGTAGAAAAAATTAGAAAGTGGATTCATTATATTTGTCTTGAATGTGAAAACTTTCCTTGTCATATCACAGTATATTACATTAGATGGAACTTCAAAGAAATAACACTGGAGTTAAGGAATTAAAAGAAAGGCAGTGAGTGAGTACGTCAAATGAGTTCAGATACTCTGTTGTGATACTTTTACTTTAATAACCAAGACTACTGTACCTAAGGTGCCGGGATAGTGACTGGGTACGGGCTGGAAGACCGAGAGGACCGAGTTCAAGCCCCAATCTGGGGCCCACCCGTTCTCCTATTGAATAGGTACCGCAGAGTTCTTTCTCCAGAGTAAAGCGGTTGAGGCGTGAAGCTGATCACTCACCATATTTAGAATTCTCTTGAAGTGGATGCTGTTAATTTACAGAATATGGCAGAAATTGGAATGTTGTGTTGAAAGAGGATAAGGCGGGCGTCCAAGTTTTAGCTTTTCTGTCTTGATACTTATCAAGCACTGATATACCATTTTATCAAACTGTTTAACAAGTACGTCTAAGCGGGATTTGTTATTTTTTACAATTTTCCTGGAAAATGGTTCACTACATCAATTATTTTCTTCTATGAAAAATTAAATATTAAAAGGAAACACGAATATATTCAGTGCGAGTGTGAAGGAAGAAATAACCGAAAATGTGCAGTGTGACATAATGGCTTAAAGCCAGATTAGCCAACCTAGATGATGTGGCCGTTGCTAAGCAACGCCATTTTATGTGCGGTCTGTTACAAGGCCTACAGTGCAAATGATGTGAAGCATCTTCAGAATGCTGAGTTGGTATCCAAATTCCACGTTGCACTGCATGCTGCACAAGTCAAAGTCACATTGCGAAGGACAGCCAGTGTGTTTGTCTGTCTTGGTGTCAAGCCCTTGTTTCTTTTAAATGAAAGTACTGTCCTGTCTATGTGGGGCGCCCTCTCTAATGGAGGTCGGGTCTGTCATTTGCTAGTCATAGTCAATAATATTAGACGATTGTCACTATGTACACTTATTTACAATGGAGCCTTTTCTTTTATTGCTAGTGGGGTGGGACTAAGTCCTTTGTACTGCGGCCACTTCTGGCCTGTTGTACCAGCCCCAGATGATAGATGAGGGTGATTATGGAGCAATTGGTAGAATGAAGATTGGCAGGGGAAACCGAAGTACTCGGAGGAAACCTGTCCCAGCGCCACTTTGTCCACCTCATATCCCACTTGACCAGACCCCGGGATTGAACCCGGACCACTGCGGTGGGAAGCCAGCCACTACCACTTGAGCTATGGTGCAGTCCTACAACTGAGCATTAATATCTAGTATGTACTCGTATAATATAAAGGCCTCTGTCAGTCTAGGCTCGGGACAGCAGATTATGCTCTATTTCTAGAGGTATTCCCTACCACAGCAGTCTAGTCGCTTGAACGGTCATATGCATGATTTCACAAGTCAAGTCAAAATCAAAGTCATGTTGCGACTGATGGTCAGTCAGTGTGGTGAAAGTGAACTGTCCTGTGCATGTGGGGCGCCCTCTCTGAGGAGAGGTCGGGTCTGTGATCTGAGCATGCTTCACATCAAAACTTCACCGTAATACAGCATCTCTCACTACTTCCCCACCCTTCTCTCTCTGTCTCTCTCTCCTAAAAGCCACTGGGATGCAGAGGGGTATAAAGGCTTCCAAACCCATCAGACAAAATATGGTAAGTAGTAGCATGGAACAAAGGGTCACTTTGCTGGCGAGTACCAATAGCAATTGAGCAGTCAGTCAGACAAACCCCTTCTTTAGTCGCAGAGGAAACCCCACTGTCATGCAAATAAACAGTCTTGGAACGAACGTAAATTAGGTTATGGGTCCCAATGCGGTCCGACACCAAGAGCAACTATGCTGACAAGGACCGGGAGCAATTTATGGGACTGGAAGCCAGGTAGTTGCTGCTGAGTCATGAGCTAGTTGTAAGACGGTAGCCAGCCAGCAGAGGAGTACCCCTTATTCAGAGCCGTTATGACCAGCGAAGACATTGAAGACTTTATATGTTCTGCAGTTGCAGTGATCTGAGAAGGTATAATAATTACTTGTAGTTACGAGTTATAAGTGTTCAATAAATCCAATTACCAGTCCAAACCCCATGTCTAGTAACTAACACGTGATGGTAAGTTCAGGGTTGAGCTAGCAGATATGCTAGATAAACGTGAGTGCAACAGGGGTTGGAAGTGCTGTAGTCATACAAAAAGCAGAGGGTATACCGTACACGAAGGCAAAACTCTGACGGGTTTTAGCCAATTTTGGGGAGCAAATCACCTGACCACTCACGTTAGTTCCTTCTCTTTCCAATACACTTGTTAAAATATTGATGACCAACCACAATAATAACAACCACAGCAGCAAGAGCTGCACAGATAACGAGCAATTGTTCCACTACCCAACTTCGATTCAGGTTCACTGCTGACTGAATTCTGCTCTACAGAAGAAACTGTAGAGTTCACAGTTCCTATAGTTGTGTTAGTGTCGTTTGAACTCTTACTGAGAATTCTTACAGTGCTTGTTGGTGGTGTACTGGTAGATCTGGTACATGTCTGCTTGTCTTAACTGGATTTAACTGCTCCAATTTTGCCAGGTATGACTCCAGTTTCTGGAAATACATGAGTGGTCCAGAATCCAAATCATTTATTCCCATCACCTCCTTTAGAAGATCTGCCCAGTTTTTGGATTTTCCACCATACAGCAGTTTCCTATAGAAAATATAACATTAATTTTAGCAGAAAAGATCAATTTTAGACCTTATGTAGGCAACAGACATCTGGTTTTAAATTCAGTACCTCATAAAAGCAAACGTACACAACATTCACAATGATTCTGCACATTTCAATGAATTTAATGACAAGTCAAATAATTGGCAGAAGTGAGAACCAAGGAAGAGAGTGGGGGCTGGATGGGTAATTACACCAGTCACCATCTCCTTACACAGTGTGTATGTTAAATTTACCTCTCCCAGGGAATGATGTCCAACAAATTCCAAATGCAATGCAATAACTGAAGTTCTTCTAAATAATATATAACGAATCAGTTCATACCTGACAGGCAAACACATTATGTCTCTCCTACAAACAACATCCATTTAATGCTGTATAGTGAAACAACTGTTGTTTATTGTAAAAACCATACAAATACACTCTATGGCCAAAATGCAAAATTTAATAAGTGAAAGCATGTGGCACACAGTGAACCACAGGACTTCAAAGAGTTAAGGTAAATGCGACAGGAGAACGTTAACATTACTGAACAAGTTTCAAGTGCTAAAACTAGACAGAAAATTATTACAATTCATACAGCTCCATGGAGTCTTTGAGAGTCTAATAATAATTATGCTAGTTAAGAAACTTTCCACATTTCATGGAACCTGGAGGTTCATTACTGTGTTAATAACAGCCTGCCAGTGAATCAAGTCTACATAACAGCACACTATAAACTGCCTGCTTCTAACCTGAATAACTAATACAAAGTATCAGAATTGGTACTGTTACTAATTCAGGGTATATACAAGGGTTGGAACTTTAATAGTGTCAACACTGCTGTAGAGATGCTATGCAACAGAGCCAAATGATGTCGCTTATACCACATGTTACTTACATACCTACCTTACCTCAGAGCAAATGGACTCTCCCTTCACACATCACATGCATGCAGTGAGAAGAAGAAACAGGAAAAACGGAGTTGGATAAAGATTGAATGTGCCAGAGGCCGTACAGCACGACAGTATCAAGGTCTTCAAGAGTGCATTGCCTTATAGAACAGTGGCAAGGTGCGTAAAAGCCTTCAATGAGGGACGCCAAAATGTGGAAGGCATGTGTTGGCCAGGTTGTCCTAGTGTCAGTGAGGAAGAAGTGTGTGCTCTTTCCGTGTTACTGGAGAGTGATCAATGCCATAAGATTCGTGAGGTGGTCAAAAAGACAGGATTAGCGCATACAACTGTGCTTCACATGCTGAAGGAATGCCTGGGCATGACAAAAATTGCATCATGATGGGTTCCACATAATTTGATGGAAATGCAGAAATAGCAAGCTGTGGTTGATTTGTTCGATCAATGGGGCTGGGAAGTGCTGAACCATCTACCATACTCCCTGGACTTAAGCCCTTGTAACTTCAACATGATTCCTAACATGAAGGAACCACTTCGTGGCATTCGCTCCAGAACTGTTCCAGAGATTCTTCAGGCAGTAGACCGCTCCATTCGAACTATCAACACAACAGACACTGATAAAGGTAACCTACGACTTCCACATCGCTGGCAACGGGTTGTACACAATGCTGGTGACTACACTGAAGGACAGTCAAACTTCAAAACATGAATCTATTTTGTATCAGTTGTAAATAAATAGTTGCCACTATTAAAGTTCCAACCCTTGTACAAAACATTTAAACATTGCTGCATATTCTGTGTGGCATAGTCATAATTTTTAGAATATGATGCCCACTAGCATAATTTTTTGGACAGATGTACTGTAAATTCTGTCATATTCAACTTCTGTGCTAATCTACGTTTAAATGTAAATTCAAATGTGGTTAGAAAATAAACATATATAAAACAGAAATGAGAAGCACATAGCTGCAGTATGATGTATCTGTCAAAATACTTTACGCTGTTCAGTTTATAATTTAACTCTCCTGAGAACATATCACTTTCGTGTAATAATGAGTTTCAGAAGAGTACAAAGTTGAATGCATATTTATTTTGAAAATTTTGAAGTAGGAACCATAGCTCCCACTTGCTAAGATGGCAAAAACTTTGACTCAAAGATTCACTCCATAGAGATCACATCTTATGAAAAAATAAGGTAGAAAATAAACATTCCAATAAAGACAAGAAGGTGAAAGAAGCAAATGTTTCACCCCGAGATATATGAGCTATAACCACAAAGAACACTAAGTGGTGCACTGAGATATGTCACTTATAACTGCACATTATTTAAAGTTTGTAAAACTGGTGTTCTCCTATCAGTCCCCTTCTTTTCCCCTGTAACCCAATGCCTAACTTTATGGAACTGTTCTAGAGGCTCTTTATGCTACTGTTATATGAGCTCATGTAAACCAACAGCCTCCACAAAATTTGCATTATCTGTTTGGAAAGACTGTGTTCTCTGTTTACCAACCTCACATCTTCGTTTTCAGCAAATGCTCTAGTTATATTCATTTCACTGCTATCCATATCTGTTCCTTCTAGAACTTTCTGAAACAACTGAAACTGCCAAATAACTCTGCAGAATTTTCTGTAAATAAACACAACAATAAATTTATTTGGAAGGTGCAAGTAGGAATGTAGAAAGTATACAAAACTATGTCACATCATAATGCGTAGATGAAATTAAAACAAGGTAACAAACGATAAATGTATTACTTATCGAAGTAGACACATGTATGAAAACAGTTTAACCTTTAAACGCCGAACTTCGAAATAGTGGTAAGCTCGAGCTGGCCGGAGTTTATTTAAATGCCCACTGCTACTCTGTGTTTAAATGTCCGTTCCTGTTAGGCGCTTAATCAATTTTAAGCGTTGTGTTTAAAAATGCTGTATCTAGCGCAATTGTTATGATAAATGGATGGAATTAACTTTGTTTATATCAGAAAAGAACATAGTGTCGCATATTATAACAGAAGATTTGAAATTTTTAATACAAAGTGTTGTACTCTATTTTCAATTTTTTGTGTTTTAATTTTGATGCGTACTGCAAAAATGGTTTCCCAGTTCTTCACAGAGTTGTTCTGCATTATAAATTCATTTCTGTTTGTAACACTTGACAAATTTTAGCAGCCCCTGGTGTCATAAAACAGATGGAAGCAATAAAATCATTTGGGTCTTCTTCTAGCACTGCTTACACCCTTTGGATTTTCGAATCTTTGACTGAAGGTCAGAAGAATGAAAGAATGGCTATTCAAGAGAAAGCTATAGGGGTCCCTTCTTCAGTGCTAAGACCTTCTGTTAGAGCTGCAAAAGCTTATTGGCCCTTCTATTTGAGTGGACAGGTGCATCGTGGCTGAGATACAGAGCGCGATCTGTTTTGTGTGCGTTCGGAGTGAAATCGAATACTGTAGTTTTATTTGAGCCTATATATTTATCAAGCAGGTAACAACAAAAAAGGTATGTACATCGAATTTTACGATATATTTTTAACATACCAATCTGCAGAATCTGCAATAAAATTACTGGATTGTGGATAAGTTTTGGCATAACTCATACGTATATTTTTATTTGCTGTTGTTCAGTTAGGTATTATTTTAATTCCTCTATTAGGGTTTTACCCAAGTCTGTCTGGTAATTACTACATTTAAAAATAAATATTTTGGACTGTGTATGCACTTCCACTAGCGGAGTTTAAATGCCTGACTGGCCAAAACGGGGTATTTTGGCCACGACGACCTTACTCATGACTGGCACAAACGGGGCACTTCGGCACTTAAACGTTAACAGAAATAAGATCTAAAAGTTGTGACAATGGTATACTGATACAAGTGTTACGTTTTTGGACGTTATCCTTCATCTTGTCTATTTTCTAAAAACCGTCCTGTTTCTTTTTAAAAACACAACGTTTTGGAGACTGGATTCCGTCCCTGTCCTTAGGTGAAACCTCCGGAGATAGGGACTAGCTCTATCTATTGGACCCAACTAAGTAGGTTTTACCTGAGGACGGGGACAGAATCCAGTCTCTGAAAAGTTGTGTTTTTAAAAAGAAACAGGACGGTTTTTACAAAATAGACAAGACGATGGATAACGTCCTAAAACATAACACTTGTAATTTAATAGAAAGCTGATGATACTGAAGTGTCATATTACTTTCCCATCAAATTATAGGACTGTTTGCAGAACTAATAATAAATGAGGCATTTGATCTTTTTGCAACAATAAAAAAAAACTTTAGCATGCCAAGGAGAAATAAGTGAAATATATGTGCTCGGAGTACTGGATATGAAATCACATTTTGAAGACATATGGATGTCCACCTATGATACTGCATGAGCAGGGAAGTAACATTCTCTTTTTTCTTATTTCTATAAAATGCTTATAGGATATTTTTAATGTTATCTGAGTATATGTAAACTTTTCAAAATCAATACAACATTAAAAATTATAAGAACTTCAGTTTAATTAACATTTCAACTTTAAGATATGAGTGATGTTCAATAAAAAAGGTTCCCTAGCCTGTAATGTTTGTGTTAATCAAGCATTTTCAGTATGAGGTAGCACATGGTGAAGGCATGGGTAACATGCAATAAATATTAAATAATGAAGTTTAGCGGTATAAACAAGCTACAGTTCACAATGTAATGACTTCTCATTTAATTTGTATGAGCTAGGAAACTTTACTGAAAAACTTTGTATAGCCTACCCCAGATAAGGTTTGTTAGATGTGATGTATGGATCTGATAAGAAGTCAAATATGTTATCATCTCCTGTTGGAATTGATACCAGTTGCATATTTTTTCTGTAAAAACAAAACATGGACCTGGTCAGATATTACACTTCTTCACTTTACTAACATATTTAAAGGAACCTTCATTACTATCAGCATTTGCACATACAGAAAATGATTTCTAAGAAATATACAATTTAATATTAATACACCATGCAATAACCTAAACCACATAAAAACACATCAGACTTTGTAATAGAGGTTTGGTGCCTTGAAAATGTTAATGAAAACAGAAACCCCAAAATTAGTGAGTGTAACATAATTTACATTCATATTCCAATCCTTGCATACATATCAAAGTTCTCTCTCTTTCCTTTATTTCGAAACACATGTCAACGTTTGGAACAGTTCTAAAACTATAATTATATCAATGAAAAAAGGTTATTGTTTTAAACTCAATTGCATTTACTATACACAATGCACTGGATTCCCAATATGAACATTTAATCACTCCTCTATAAATGCATTCATGATGGCAACCTAATGTTAAAATGTTTTATTCCTTAAAAATAGGTAAAACTGAACTTCAGATGCAATGCATGAGAACATTACTTTATAATTTGGCTTGTCTTTAATAAATGAATTACCAGCCCCGTATCTGAAATGAATTATGACTAATCACTGTAATGCCATGCTGAGCAATACTAATCACAGTACAAACCTGTGTTGTCTCCATGAGCTGTTCAGCCCTGTAATGTTTGTCAGATTGCCAGTGAGAGCTTCTAGTCTCCAAAGATCTGCAGCCAGGAAGTATGGTAGTAGTAGTAACTGGAGTAGTAAGAAAAACTTTATGAATCCAAAAACTAGTCATGTTCACAAGATTCATTTCTTTAAATTCGCTTAGTGGGGGGTGGAGTCCAGCTGGGTCCACTCAGCATGGTGGCCACTGATTGGCCTATTGTACCTGCCCTGGGTGATTATGAATTGGTGGAATGAAGATGGCAAGGGAAACCCAAGTACTTGGAGAAAACCCGCCCCAGCACCACTTCGTCCACCACACATCCCACTTGACCAGAACCAGGATCGAACCCGGGCCGCTGCAGTGGGAAGCCAGCAACTAACCACTTCAGCTATGGCGCAGCCTTTTCACAAGATTAATACTAGCAATAATAAAATAACTGAAGCAGTTTGATGACCCTTATAAATCTGAAATATACACTATTTCAACGATTAATCCTGCATTAACAACAAAATATAATTGAAGTAGTATTAACAACTAAATTTTTGGGCCTACAAGGTGATAACTTCAATTAAAATGATTTTGAGTCTACTCCTGAGTTTTATGGTGAAGTAGATAGATAACTTGAACATTTCAAGTCAATTAAGTAATCGCATTTAATTTTTACCTATACACAAAGGAGCATGCGGTAGCATAGTTGGTTGAGGCACTATGCAAGAAGCCAGAAGGTTGCAGGTTTGAGTCCTGATGAGGTGGATTTTTTTCAATTCACCTAATCCTTCCAGCCATACCATGGCCCTGGAGTCGACTCAGCCTCTAACAGAACTGAGTAGCAGCAAACTTCCTGGGAGAGGAGGGCTTTAAAGAGCGGCTGGCATGTAAGGCTGACAACCTTGCTGCCCTCTGTGAGCCAACTGTCTAGAGAAAATGTGGGAGCCTCAATGTCTCACAACCCTATGGGCCTTCACGGCCTCTTACAGGGAAAGCTTTACCTTTTACCTGTACACAAACAAGAATCATGTGTCAGACAATTTCCTGTACACTCCTAAATTTCAATACAGTTCTTTCATCATGAAGTGCAGAATGAATTCCATCTTGTGGAATAGATTCTAATGTACTGAGAAGAAAGGGATGTCAGCAGATGGGGAAAAGGTGGAGCTGTGTTAGTGGATGGGGGATAATGTTGTTCAGAACAGGCTTCCTTATTTGCAGATGTTGAGAGTTTGCTCAAAGCCCAGAGCTCTGAGACATTCGCATGTAGCTGCTACACCATTTCTTTTCTGTTGCTGGACTGCAATTGCTCATCATCACTGTCACTTGTTCCAAACCATCTGACATTTAATGATGCTTTCATGAATAACTGTCACAAATATTCTCCCAGTAATTCAATAAATGCCCTTGGCAGATTTTAGAAGCCCTTATGATAGCAATATGTTATGTAACTGAGTAGTTACAACGCACTTCATATGAGCAGGTAGGATTGACATCACAAGACAAAAATAAAGAGGCATCACTTTATTATTTGTACCCCTCTGCCTAGGTAATTCATTCATCGGCCGGTTTTTTTTTCTTTACTTTCACTATCAAGGAGTAAAGTCTCTTGTGATACCTATCGATAAACAAAATAGTGCTGTTTGGTGAACTGAACAGCTGGCACACCTAATCCATTCAAAGTCAACACTATCTTTACTGGTAGTTGTGATATGCTGTTCCCCTGAATTCACATTAGTGACTGCTGCTATCATAGTCTCCAAGTAGCAACTATTTCTACCAGCTTCTCTGAAGGATAGGTGGATGACTGTTCTTTATCGCTGTGCTTCTTGAAATATATGAAGCTCTGGTTAGTATGATCACTTGAAATATGTCAGACATGACAAGCATGCATCATAACTGAATATGAAGCAGCTTGTCTGGTAGTGAAACTGCCAACACATGCTACTGAGAGCACCTCCATGTCAACAGCAAGTATAGCGAGATGTAATTTGTGTCAAATCTTCCTCCACAACATGGAGACTGTCAGGGATATCATCAGGGTTACTTGTGAAGGGATTACACGGAGAAGCATAAAGTGCCCTGAACAAGGAATATGGGTTTGCAGAAGAGTAGTACCATCCTCCTTGCAATTCCATATAGGCCTATAAGCAAGGCAATCGATGCCAGCCTTCTGGGCACCTATAAATTGTNTGGGTTATCATTTGAATGAATGAATGTATGAATGAATAGCACCAAATGTGTTCTGAGGGTTCCTAATTCTGGTTGTGTGTCTGAAAGTACTTGCCTCTTTTGTTGTCCTCCATATGCTGGGGCA